TCAAGTCATCTGAACTTCACCCCCAGGAGTTTACAAAGTCTTCGTTAACAATCTTGTCCAATTCGTAAGCTTGTTCTATGTCTAAAACTGATTGAGCACTACCTGAGCATTGATTCCGACAGAATGTCTGCTATCATGATGTCGCGTCTAATGCTTAACCTCAGAAAAGAACAATCAATCGAAACGCTAGATGATTTCTCTCTTTCAAGACTTGCATTTGCAAGTTTTGAAAATGGCTAGCAGATAATGCTCTTTTGTTAAGCATATAATATTATAGGCTACCAGACAGCCAGAGCTGTACGTAGGAAGTACCTAAACCATCATTAATGGAAATTTAAATCGTCTTTTACAGAACTCGTGTACGCCTTAGAAGGTACAGTGAGTCCCAATGCAGATCTCAGAACACGCCGGTTCCCGTAAGTATTGTAGCTTTTAGGCTTTATTTAGAATGATTATTACCCTTCCCTTGGAAGACTCTTCCTCTTCTGAAGGGGATTCTGCTGGTGTGTCTACACTGAGTCCTTAGCTGAGCCTGTGGCTAGTGAGAAGCTGTGAATTCTGAGTGAACCAGGCTATTAACTTGAACACCGACGGTGAAACACTTAGAAAATACGGATCATTATCATTACTTCCATTTATCGATAACTCTTCTTTTTTGAAGTCGAGTACCTCCAAGGCTGTCTCTTCCTCGTGCTTTGGAGAATCACAACACTGAAAGGGCGAACATGATTGTTGGGACACGATCCAGATGTTCTCTGGAAGGTTGACAGACACACGAGCGATGCCACGAGCAGAAATGTGGTGCCTTTAGGATTTTGAAAATTGATAATCGATGTTTGACGTCGAACTAGCTAGCCTATAAAATTCTCGGGAAACGATATCGTGAGATACACACTTGGTGGGAGCCTTGAGCACGGACGACTCCAGCATATCCACTACGGAAAATAGCAGCTTATCGTCAATATAAAAAAAGTGCACATCCCCGCTGAATAGTTGGTCATATGGTCAACGGGTAGGTTCTCTAGGGTTTGCGCATGACGGTAGAACCCATCACAAATGCTCAGGGATTCGAGATATCTGCGGAGTATCGCGATGGCGGTTGGAAAGATCACCGGAGGACGGTTGCATCTAAAAGCAGGTTAAATAGGAAGTCATAGCCATGAAAACGTGTATCAAGACGGGAGTCGCACCCGCTATTATGGCCTGCACAAGCTCGGCCATTTATACGCAGAATTGTTGAATGATAATAAGTTGCGCGACGCGAATGCCCTTATCAGAACGTAGCATCGATGATGCGCCTTTTGTAGATCTCGTACAATATTGTTACACAAACTACAGAAAGAAGGGTCCGTATGTTACTTTGCAAGCTATATAATGAGCGTCGGAAACAAGTTGATAGAGGCAATAAGTTCAACCGAGCACGGTTAAAGGACACAACAAGCGCAACGCTACGTGAGGTACAAAGAGAATCCCAGTCTGTAGCATCATATCACTATATAAAGCAGACTCATTAGGACGAGGAGGCCAGGCAAGGAGGCCCGATCTGTGTATCGAAGAATACAAAGTGCGAGAAGAGATGAAAGCACAGAACAGTACCGTAACACCATAACATAGGCAGATGAGAAGTTCGATAACGCCTGCTCTCCAGTAGCGCTGTGCAGGCAGCAGATAAACCGCCTGCAGCGTAGACAAAATGACTGGCACCATTAGCTTCATCCGCTACATCGAGCACCACTCAGTATTCTACCGCATCATCATTGTCATTCTCCGGTTGTGTGGAAGTCTGTTTCGTGTCCACGTCCATTGCGGCAGCTCCTGGACCCGTTTTATCCTTCTCTTCTGATGTAGCTTGTGTTGTTGCTGGCGCTGAAGTAGTCTCTTTCGCATCTTTATCGCCACTGACATCCACGTCCATATGAGCATCACCTTCATTCTCTTCTGGGAGTCTATTTCTTTCGTCCTTATCATTCTCGTCAGCCCGAGCACTGACTGGAGCATTGTTGACTCTTTCTCTGAGCTCCCGGATCTCAGTGACACCTGCGTTGCGCTCCGTGACGAAGGCAGACCATTCAGCTGTGGATGCAACGGTTATCTGCAAGGAAATGGAAATACTTAGTACCTAGGAAAATTCGAAGGATACAGCGGACGACGGATAGCGGGGGTCGAATGAGAACAGCAAAACTCACTTTTTCCTTCCGTTTTTTTATGAATGCCTCTTGCGATGGAAGCAACTTTTTTGGTAGATAATATAGTGGCGGAGGATGCGACCTAGGGGGTTTCGATTTTGCTAGTATTTCTGCAAACGATTGTGGGTCATCTGTACACCGTATTAATATTAGCAAACCTCCATTATATAAGTTGGACATAAACTCACTTTGTTCAACTTCTTCCTCCATTGCTTGTTCGTCCGGTATAACATCACTTGTACACAAGAAATTCGCCAAATACGGTATCCTTGTCCTCCTCAATCTATACACGCTGACTTTTACACCCAATTCCTCCTCTTTTCTCACTGCAAGCGTTTTATCCTTCCTGACCTCTTCTTGTTTCCTCACTTCTGCTGTCTCGCTCCTCAGCTTGGCTTGTAACCGTGCTTCAAGTAATTGGCGGCGTTTAGCTGCATCGGAGGCTTCGCGCTCTTTGGATTCGATTTTGGCTTTGTTGAGAGTACCGAGAACAAGACCAAACATAGATTTACCGCCTCGCCCGCCACGTGTACCATTGCTAAGAGAAATGCGAGGTCGGGAAGACGGTGGAGGGACTGGGGATGGAGGTGCTGCTTCGGTTGTTTCGGGAGTTGGTGTAGGAGGAGAAGCGATTACGGTTCTAAGTAACGAACAAAGTTAGCATAAGTAAATTATTTTAGGATGAAGAAACATACTCTTCGGACATTGTTGGCGAATGCAGCTTAAGCCTCAGAGGAACGTCGGAGAGGAATTGAGAGAGTCCGACAAGACATGTGATCATCTTGCGCCTTAGTAGTGAGTCATCGTTTCCACATCAAATTTGCAGGGACTCACTCATTGAAGTGTTGCAGCCCTCTCAATATTCAAGTATTACAGAATATTCCGAACACACCGGTGTAACGAGTTGCTCTGTTTGATGCTAATCATTTCGCCTAAATTATGGCGCTGATTATTGTACATTGCATTGCTCTGCACTTTCTCATGCGAACGGATGTCTGCTTCCCTCCCTCCAATATGCCAAATCACCGAAAATCCTGATATAGCTGGTGCGCTGAAACCTAATTTGCTCAGGATCGTTCTAATTTTTTGCGTTTAGGCATTGGAGTTCGTCTTTCGATTTATATTCCAGCTATACTGGTGACATTGAACTCTGGCTACATCGCAGCCAAGGTTTGCATCGACGCCTTCACTGGGAAGCTCTCCGTATACTTTAATTCTGTAACACTCAGGTCCTTATCGGATGACGGCGATTCTGTCTCCGCTTCCGATCTTGAACTTACTGACCTTGAAGCTGCAAGTCAATCGAGTCAAGCCCCCTCTCCCACAAGGTCTTCTAGGTCCTCCGCGTCTTCCACGTCGTCGTCGTCGTCTTGGTACACCGATGACGGCGAAGAATATCTTGAAAGAGTAGCCCGTGGATACCTCAACTACCTTTCTGATCACCCGCACTACTTCGAGTCTAGTAAATCTCTTGAACGCTCCCTCTTTCTCATCGGTTCTGCAATGATTGTTAGCGCATTCCTCGATGCCCGATTTTCAAGCTCTAGTATCGGTCTTCCACCCTATCACGCCCTTATCGTTCTTAACCTATCCTTCCTCAACAACCTGGCCGGTTCAATCTTGCTTCCATTACGATTTTTAGCTGTTTGCGCTGAAATATGGTATGGAGAAGAGGAGGATGTGATATTGCCAAAGTCTCTGTGGTATTTGGCTATGGCCATTGACGTTTCTGGCCTTGCGGTAATACAGACACTGGTTATCATTGCGTTTGGAATCTGGTTCTGGGTGTCGACAACGTTTTTTCACTCGTTTAGCGGGTATAGCATGACGGTCGACAAACTAGTTTCTTCGGCATCATATAATTCGACCCTCGCTGCGTCGTCTGTGGGGTCCTCAGAACCATCACAATGCCTCTCCAAAACCTTTTATTGGGCTTTCCGCAAGGTCCCTGTTGAATCTACTCTGTCACTCCAAATAATTTCCCTGATCTTCTACATCGGGACCGCCGCTTTTCCAGTTCTTGGTCCATTCGTCTATGTCACGCCCACAATTGTCATCATTCGATCTGTACCACTAGTTATGGCAATGGCATTCTCAGGTATTATATATCTTTTCGGTATCGTCCTACCACGCATAACAACACGTCTCATATATACCTTCCTGCCCAAAATATACCACCTCTCCATCACCATCCCTTATCCTCACAAACGCCTCTTTCCACGCATCCTCTCGCCTACGGCAATCTCCACAAAACTCATCTTCTTAACAATCGTTGTCACGAATTTGTCCACTGTCTTGTACCTCATCATCTCCACCGAGGAAACAATATCCATAAATTCTGTTTCGCGGTCCGGTTCAGTCGTGATAAGTGGTTCACAATGGACGTACGGTCAGACTCTCGCTCTGTTGACTGCGGTGATTGGCGTGTTTATGTATGTTGCGGAGCTAGTAGGGCAGTGGAAGGAGGTTTTACTCGAACGTCGGAAACGCTTGCTGGAACAAGGAAACAATGACAATATTATAACAGATGTTACTGTTGACGCTGAGGATGCAAATGGGAAGGATGGGAAGGCCAGTGATAGTGACAAAAGCGGTTCTCACCGCTCTAACTTGGGTGATGGTAATTTGTTGTTTTCTTGGACTAAAACTTCGCGGAGAAGGACTTACAGAAAGAGAGCAAATAGTATCTGATATTTTAGAAAGTGAGTTCGAGTAAAGAGGAGTGCCAAGGTGTGAATAATGGGCATCGCAAACAAGACCATCTGTAAATGTAGACAAGTGTCAGAATATCTAAAAAAGAAAAGAAGTACAACAAGTTCGCGGCGTGGGTCGAACACGCGACTTCAAGATACTTAGACACAAATTTCATTGCAATCTCACACTCTACCACTGAGTTACGCGAACGTGAGTGTTACAGGTACACACAGATAGAACGTATGATCAGGCAAACAATGGTTGAATTAGGCACCGTAAAAAGCCTAATATACATCGCTTTGGCTTCGTGTGAATGTGCACTGTTCACTTATGGTCCATCATAAAGCAGAAACTGTCCCTCGGCGAATATTTATTACTTTCCCTTTCTCTACTAGCATTCGCAGCCGTGCATTATCCAGGCTATTAAGGCTATCATCAACCTCTTACTTTCGTATCTGTGCTTTTGTCTCGCTGTTCCTGATAATCTCCTCGACGACTTTACTCTTTACTGCCTTAACAAGTGAAACCAAGCTTCTATCCTTGCTTCCTCTCCCTCACAAGCTACGGAACTCATGGTCTGCAGCACCTGGCAAACATGATAGTGCTGCGCAAGTTGGCGAAGGACCGCTCATTCCTCGGATTTGTGATTCAGACTTTTCTACGAACTGGGAGACACTAGATTCCAACGAGTCAATTTATGTCCTGTCACTTCCTCACCGAACCGACCGTCGTACGCGGATGGAGCTTCTGCGAAATTATCTTAGCTTGAATTGGACTTATATCGACGCGACTTACGTTGATGAAGAAGTCGTTTCAACGATAATGGGTAACGTCTTCAAACTGAGAGAAGAGGCGATGAGGGCGAGACTGGAACTACAAAGGATCCGAGACGAGAAAGCAAAGACACAGGAACAGGAAGATGGTTTTGTGTCTAAGGTTTATCCTGACGACCTAGAGGCAATTTCAACCTTGGACTTACCATTATCCGAACCTGTTCCTCTATCATATGGGTCAAGTAAACCAAATCAACTATTCTCAGGTGTCAAACTTCCATTCCAGTGGCCATCTTCAACATTTACGAACAACTTTGAACTGCCTCTTTCACATTCACCACTGAAGACTGGGATACTAGAATTCCTGGAGGCGTTCGATATCTATGCAAATAAATCTGACAGCACCCTCAGGACTTGGCGAATAGAGTCCGACATTTCAAATAAACTCGTCGATGGCCATGATTATTTCTCTCGATTTCTCACCAACGTCGAAGCCCGCACTAATTCTTCTTCGATAGATTTGGAACTAGTTTGCCCCACGAAAGACTTTAGTCTCGTTCCGTACTCCACGACGTTACCATATCATAAATGCCTCACATCTGCGCGGGTAGCAGTATGGTATTCCCATCTGAGAGTCTTACAACAGATCGTCGAAGAGGAGGATTTGCGACAGAAGAGGGAAATACGGAAGCAGGAATGGTATCAATCTGACAACAACATTGCACCAGTGAACGCTGTGAACCTGGGAGAAGTTGAAGAAGTAGGAATTGCAGTAAGAGGTAGGACTGAAAAGCGTTGGATATATTCATCAAGGTGCGAATACGGCAATCATCCTTTGAACTCCAATTGATTACTCCTCATAGACGAGAGGTCAACAAGCAATCTATTTCAGAGGAGATCTTTGACGAACGTATTGGCGATCCTCCTGATCCTCAGCAACGAACAGATGACGGACCCGAATCACTACCCAACGAGCCGGTCCCTCAGTCGAAGTTCACTCGTGATAAAAACCACGAACACATCAGCATCATCTTCGAAGACGATATCGACATGGAAAAAGATATCCGTCGTCGGCTACGCAGAATCTGGGATGTTCTACCAGACGACTGGGATATTGTCTTCTTCGGACATTGTTGGTCAAACGAGTCGTTTTGGCCAGCAATCATACTCCATCCAGGTTCATCCGGACCCGCTTGTCCCTCGTCTGAAGGTGTTTCTGAGAATATTCTTCATCCCTCGTACTCCCCAAAATGTACACATGCATATGCCCTCTCTCCTACAGGCGCCCGGAAGCTGCTTGCGCACCTCGAATACCCACCGTTTGCGTATTCCCGAGCGATTGATCAAGCGTTTGCGTGGTTGGTTTCGAGCGGCAGAGTGAAGGCGTACAGTGTCGTTGGGAGTGTTGTTGTGCAGGTAAAGAGCGGCAATGTAACTAGTACGATTGGCAAAGGAAGTCAGACTGATGTAAGTAGTGGAGGCGAGGGAAGTGTGGGAGTAGGAGATGTTTGGCGGCCAGGACGGATGAACGAGAATGAGATTAGTAGCGGAGTGGATGAGGATCGTGCGGTTAGTACCAGTTCGTGGACTGAAGAATTGTTCGATGGGGTTTTTGGTAGTATCGCATAATTTGCCCTTTCTGCATTTCAAATTCTTGACCTTCACGTTCGTCTTCTTCCACATTGATTAGCATGTCTTTTCGATGTCCTGCTTGCAATCCGGTTGTAGCCTGTACTTTCTCGGGCATAGAACGTCGCTGATACCAAAGACCGCATCAGTAGGAAATCTTACAGAATATGTACGACTTTGTGCCGGACGGACTTTTGACAAGGTTAGTACCTAACACAACGTGTCGATTTTACTTTCTTGTTATGCTTTATAGCTTATATATTACCTGACCCTGTAACATAGAGTCATTTGTAGTTCGTCAGTCCGTCGAAGAAGCTTCAGAACCGTGCCTTCGTTACGGTCGCTTGCTCTGCTCGCACTGTGAACTGCAACTGGATAGAACTGGGTTCACAGCTTGTCCTGTTCTAGGTGATCTTGAGTCAAATTTCAAGCTCAGCTTCTCCGACTAGACTGTACAAGCTTGTACGAGTCATTCTCGAGCGAATAAAATGCGAATTATGCGGTAGTAATAAATCATGTGTACAACTGATAACGAGAGCGATTTTATAGGACAAGGGTAGGTTGAAAGAGCGAGGCGCAGCAAAAGAACGAAACGATAAGCAAAAAAAAACCTTTGCACACTATTTGATATGTCCATTAAGATACGCGATATGGAGAGAAAAACCAACGTTTTTTCTATTTCAGAAGCATTTGTCCACAACAATAGATCTCCCTTCATCCTCTAGTCCGTTCATCCCGACATGCATCTTGTACTTAAGAATAAACATCAAGTGCGAGCCGGACACCCGTTTGATCGTCTCATACCACCTGGGTATTGTATAATCACAAAGTCGAAAGTGATGCTAGGCCGAACGGAGGGTATATTCGAACCGTTCCTGCACTTCCTCCGATTCTGATTTCTAGTGTTTCCCATTTCCTTCCACAAATTCGACCACCAGTTACCCATCAGCTCTATACCTTCATCGTCATCGCATCCCTGTCATCCGCACATAACCGTGCCCACTCCAATGCAAGTCGATACACATACGACTCCAAGTCCAATGTCCGACCTATTGTCCTCTTCCACTGTTTCCCTGCGCGCGCAATGCGTCGTAGACGGGCATCGCCATCAGGTGCGCCAGGAATAGCAGGGATCTTGGTGCCGGGTGGGAAGAGAGGAACACCAGTAGCGGGATCCGTCGCGTTACCGTACACTTCCTCGGCAACCTCTGCTGGTATTCCGGAGAAGTAGCCGAAGATGTTGTAGATTTCTTCGTAGGAAGATGAAAGAGGAATATAGTGTAACCTGTTCAACCAAGGGTCAGATTCATTCATCTGCGCTCCAATAACGATGCTCACCAAGGCTCGATCCATTCAGAGAAAAACTCTTCGTACACTGTGCTTTTGATAGGGACCGAGTCTGAGGCAAGGAAGGACATGAATCGACCAGAATAGGACATTCCGTCGAGATCGAGAAGGTATTTGTATTGCCAATGGCCGCCTTTAAGAAAGAAAAAAGCAGTCAGCACTACATCCAAGGGCTCAGCCTACGAACTCACCTAGATAAACACTACCAGAGAACCTATGCTCCTGCATGAGCTTCTCCAGACCACCAGGATATTGATCTGCATTCGCCGCTTTGACGAACGCAATATCCATCAAAGCCTTGTTTAACGTTGCGGCGGGAACCTTGTGTGCTATGAGCGGAATGTCGGTGACTAGATTTTGTGAGGGTCCAAATTTAGCAGACGATGATGATGAGGAGTTGGCCAAGAGTGAACTAGTATTGGGGATCCAAATCTCCACGTCACCCTCGACATCCCAACCAGCCATGCGAACAGCCCGATGACGCTGGTAGAGGGCAGCAAAGCCAGGAGGGGAGTTACCTCCACCGGTTGTAGCGCCACGCCAGAAAATTTTGTTGCGTTTGCTTTCTTTGCCTGTCTTGCGGTTTCTTGGTGGGTTGGCGGTATTAGTGTGACCGTCGTAGGAGGAGTCGATTACTGGACAGGATTGAGTGGATATAAATATTTACATCAGAGAACATGGTTGATTCATCCATACCTAGTTCACGGTCATCTACGCCACCTTCACCGTCAGGTCCGAGGTCAGTTTCGTCCCCCCAAGCTACTTCACCACGATCAGTCGGTTGCAACTCCAAGTTGACTTCGTCCCAGCCATATGTGTAGGCATCGGTGGAACCGTAGTAGTAGTGAGAGGGAATCTTTATGGAAACTGGTTCATATAACGAACAAATAACAGTAATGGTTTATGAAAACTCACCTTAATATCACCGAAACCTTTTGCTCTGGCGGGGCTGAGAATGGGATATAGATCGCCGAGGGTGCGCCAATCACTGAAGAAGTGTCCTTGAGTGTAGTGAAGATGAGGCTCGTCGCAGAAGGACACGGAGTCAAAAGAGTTGGAAGGAGCGAACGCGAATGAAGAGGGAACGGATCCTATGCAAAGAAAGAATAAGGTATAGGAAGTGAATACATGGAAAAGAGGGACTTGCCATCATTTCCTCCTGAAGCAGGATTGTTCGATGACGAAGTGATATCAAGCATTGCGCTGCGAATGCTGGCATAGAATTTCCGTGCCGTTGAATTGGGTGGGCAAGTTCGTCGCCAGGTATCCCAGACGTTGCCTTCTCCTCTCCAATCAGGACGGAAAGTAGAAAGCGGGTGAACGACTTTTTTATCATCGCCGGGAGTATCAATTTCGATGTATGTCCTGTTTCCCATTCCAAGTCCGATTTTGTCACCTGTGGCGCCATCCTGACCAGCAACCTCCCACCTGTCCCAAGGGACGATGATCCTACCCTCTGCT